TGAACATGTGAAGATTCTGTGATGGCAAGCTTTGCGCCGGAGGATTTGGCTTGTTTGTGGACTTCGGATGGAGTGTAGAAGGGGTTGGCAGTGGTGGACATGGCGCCTAGAAAGGAGGCGCCGAGGAAAGCGAAGGCAAAAAAAGGGGAGTTGGGTAGGAGAATCATTATAACGTCTCCTTGACGGATGCCGAGGCGGTGGAGACCAGCGGCCGAGCGGCGGGAGAGGAGGTGGACGTCGGAGTAGGAGAGAATGGAGCCGGTGGAGCCACAGGTGCGGTCAGCGATCTCGGGGAGCTTTTGGAAGCAGTAGTCATGGAGGGGGAGGTGGTCGGGGATGTCGATGGCCGGAAGTTTGGAACGGAAGATGTTTGTTTGGGTGGTTGGAGTGAAGTCGGGTGAAATTGAGCCCATTTTTGGCTGGTGGGGGATCGTAAAACGGAAGAAGGGAAGATTTGGATTTGTGATGAACAATTGCTCTTCCCTGAGAAGCAATGGGGGGGGTTTGAAGCGTAAATATAAGGGTGAGGGGTTGGTGAGTGGGGTCGTTGAGGTTGGTGAGAAGCGACTTGGAGAGTGGAAGGAAGAGGGATTTCTCTCTTAAATTTTTTTTTTTTAGAACGATATGAACAAGTGATGTTTGACCACACGCATTTGTCAAATTTCTCCTTGTTTATCAAGTAAAAATGGAAATTTGATTTCCAAGGAAACATCATTTGTTTTAAATACATTTTATTTATTTTTCAGAAATTTGATTTCCAAGGAAACATCATTTGTTTTAATACATTTTATTTATTTAAAAAAAAATAATGCATTTAATTTAACGCTATATGTTAATATAAGAATTTGTGATATATTAGCTTCATTAATCTTTAAGAAAATGTTTTTGGCACTCTATTTTAATTGATCTATATAAAATATAAACTCAGATTAATTTTAAATTAATCTAATTGAGGATTCAAATGACAGAATGGGTGTATAAGCTTAAAAAGAGTTGGTGAGGGGTGGAGTTGGTGGACTTCCTAGTTCCTACCAAATGGTCATAGATCATTCATAGTGGGACCCACGAGATGGAGCACTTATGTTAAGGGAAAGTCGAATTGCTGACTAATGGGCATCAAATTTCGCATCTAGTATTTAAAGTTAAAACATTTCAGGCATTCTAAAGGGTTTGTGTGAGGCTCAAATAAGGTTTGGCATTGTCAGCAATAGGTAGGCATTGCATAAGACCTTGAAAAAATTGTAAATTGGGCAAATACATGACTAGGCCATATCTGTTACCTGCAAGATCATGCTTATATACATATGTTAGAGATTAGCTAATATGATATTTATTGAAAAAAAGGTTGAAAAATTACATTGGTGTTGGATTTAAGATGGCTCCCTAAAAAGATCAAATTTTTTTAATCAAATCGTAGAAATGATGGGGAGAGGGGGGATTTAAATTTAATGAAACTAGTGTTAAGATTAAAATATAAGGATATCATTGCATTGAGAAATATGTGTTGAATTACAATATAAAAAAAAATAATTTGAAGATTGAGTGAGTTCATCGAGAAATGTAGTGGGATGTTCTAAGCCTTACGCATATGATTTTTTTAATAAAATTTTATTTGCTTAAGTTAAATCATTTACCGGCACTATATAGTAAGGATTACTATATACAATGCAATTTTGTAAAAAAAAATATATAGAATGAACCCATTATTTTGAGAGTAGGTTTATAACTAGAATCGCAATCATAATTTGGGTCACTAAGCATGCCCTCCAAATTGAGGGTAAGTACTCTTAGACTTTTACCAGCAATAACTACTAATTATATGAGAAGTACTCTAAATGAATTGATGGTTTTTTTTTTTGTGTCAAATTTTATTTATTATAAGTTGGCTTTGTAAGTCCCCTAAGTTGAGTTTAATAACTTAGGATTTAGGCTAGATAATTATTGTAATAATTAGAGGTGGATTTAACTCTTAGGCACCGTATATAAAAGGTTGATGCGGCTATAATTCTAGGTTGTAGGATATTTAATCTAGTTCTTAATAATTTTCGTCATGAACACAATTTTGATCCTCCTAAGAGCTAGATTAACTTGAACTTGATTGCATTGTCCAATTTAAAAGTAAGAAAAAATGAGATAAAGTAAATGTATATAGACACAAAATCACCTAAAATAATCAAAGTTATAAGTATAAATTAATTTAGAGAGCTTGTTAATTAAAATACATAGAATTTCATGTGTTCTAGAAATTTTAACATCAATGTCCACAATTTTGAAATTAATGGTTTGTTTTTAAAACCTTAATATGTGAGCCTTTACTATAACAAACTATATATTTATATTTCTTCTAAAGTTATTCTATGAAGGAGTAAAAAAAGTTCCAAAGCTAATTGTCATTATTAAACTTTGAAGAAATTCAAAGAGGCTTTTATTTATTGAAAATTTTATCATGGATGTTAATTCTTTGTTTAAATTAAAAATATATATATAACAACTATTCATTTGCTTTTGAGCACACGTCAAGTTTTGAGTTACAAAAGATGGAAGGCCATTAGGCTAAAAGGTTGAAACCATGACATTTTTGGTTGATAACAAAAATAGTTATAATGAGTGTTTATTAATAAAGGCTATAATGTACCTATCAATGTGTAAGCTAATGTTTATTTGGCTTAATCGATTTCTTATAATTAAAATTTAATATTTTATAAGTTTCAAATCTATTTTTTTAATGGATATAATTGCCATTAATCTTAGTGTTGACCTAACTTTTGTGAGGAGTCATCTCACCCACTTATACATGACACTAAACTAGGGTTGTGCCTTCCTGGACCTCAACAGTGCAAGCTCAAGCCCCTATCCCTTAATTGAGTGGGTTTAGGGTTTTGATCACTTGAGAATCTGAATTAACCAATAGGGGTTAGATATGCCCTATTGGAATGAATCTTCAGTATGCATGGTGGACCAACCAATAGCCATGATACTCAATGAAATAGTAAGGAAAATGACCCAGTGGACATTGAACTTATTAGGTTGTTTCAACCTACTTCAGTGTTTCACAGTCATGTTGGTAGGGCAATCTTGCATTTATTTGACTGATATATGACGCTTAAAATTGTCAAATATGTTTTCTTCCCTAATTTTTTTTAGGGGGACTTGAAGTTAATATAATAGATAATTGAAGAGGGGATCTTCATGTCTTTCATTATTTTCATATTCAGTGGACATATAGACCTAGCCAAAATATTGGTTTGAAGAAAGCAGAGTATTTATACCAAGATTAAGCCTCATCAAATAAATCACACTTGTAGGTTAGTCTCAAAAACTATGGCATAGCTTGACTAGCCATACAACATGCTAGTATCGTTTGTTAGTTTCAGAAAGGTGACCAAAAGCTATGATTAGGTGGATGGTCAACACATTCAGTCACATAAGAATTGTGAGTTGGTCATGAAAAAATTCATTAAAAGGGACTAGGAGAGCTTACTATTGTTGAGGTTGCTGTAGTTCAACAACCACCTTCACGTACTATCTAAATTTGGTTCGAAAGCAAAAAATTATGATATTGGGCCTAACTTAAAACAAAATATTTTTGGATAAAAATCTGGTCATACCGACTTGTTTTAAGCATGGTATGTTGACTAGCCTATTAAGGTTTTGTTTGAGAACGCGTTGAGCTTCCGTTTGCTTACATGTAATGCCGCCGCCTAGCAATATTTTAGATTGGTGTTGGAGTGTTTTCATAACATCTCCAAACGTAGCATAGTAAGAACAACAAATTTTCGTCATTCAAATTGTTGCCGGACTCTTGCTTTTGGGGATACCACTTTTAAACCATATTTGTTGAACATGAATGCTTCTTCAAATGAAGCCTAAAATTTATTACACAGAAGTTTCTTAGAGAAAAAAAAAAAAGTTTTATCAACGCTCATTACTAATACAGAAACTATAAATTGTTCAGCTGTACAAATTTGCTGTAAAGTTTAAGCTCTGCTTAATATTTCTTGGTGTGCCACAAGCATTCAATCCGACTGCTGTTCTGGCAGAATTTGAAATCTACCTGGTATAGACGGCGCAAATCGTGCTGGTTGAGCCGTGTAAATTTCTTAAATTTAGTCTAATAGGTGTCACTTTATGCTATAATATGTAAATTTAATTCACAATAATGACATAATAATGAAAAGGTTGGTATGCTAAACGTTTAGGCACAATAAATACTTATTAAAGCTTTCCAAATCTGTAGTTATGAAACCAACCGGAATCGTCTGCGAAATTATGCAGCTAACAATTCACAAATAGAAATGTTTAACTCACAATTTTTTTTTTTTT